ATTCCAAACCTGTATGCCTGACGTTCTTCTGTGCAATACAAAAAGTTAATTCTTCTGTAATATTTCCAAATATAATGAGAACAGGGCCATAGTATTGTGTGAGTATTGTTTTTTACTGAAAATCTGCACATCCATTCTAGGCTTGCTTGATATGTTAAAGAAAAATCTAATCTAATTCTTTTGAGTCACAAACTATAGGCCATACTTGAATATAATGCACACTCATATGGACTATTTTTTAAAAATGTGAAATCACACACCAATCAAACACTTTTATGTATGTTAAAACGTAATTTTAAAGCATGCTGGGGAAAGACCAGTGGTGCTTTTATGGTGCTTTTGTGTCCTTTTTGAAGGTTGAAAGTTATTGTAGTAATTGCATGGTAAATAATGAGCAGTACATTCTTAAAACAAAAGGCATCTTTTTAGCTCCATAGACATAAAACAACATGAGGGTGAGTATGTGATACAATTGTCATTTCTGGATGAAATGCATGTGAAAATTATTTTAGTTATTTTATATTGTTTATTTATAAATATATTTATATTTATTTTATTATGTTCAACTGAAAAGTGCCAATAAGATCATTGGTGTAAGAGTCACATTTCATTTCTCTTAACATGAATGACATCATGTTTTTGCTTGAGGGGAATGTAAAGAATGGGGCCATTCATGGGTAAAAGGTCTGAATGGATTTTTTCCCTCACTTTTTGGAGCCCTGGTAGATGCAAAAGAAATTATAATACCAAAGAAATAGCAATAGCATTTTAGCAACTAATTGCAGGCTATGGAGAAAATGATCCAAATCACTGTTACTCTACCTGTGAAGTGAGACATGACAAAGCTGAAAGCAACATATTCGTTTCCTAATCTAAACAATGCTTGTAAGTGGAGGTAATGTTCTCTTTTATACTGCGATAGAAATTGATACGAAAACGTATTACATCAGCATCAAAGAGTCTGATGCAATCCTGAGTAACACAGACAGCCTGTGTCTTCTTGTCCACCATATTTGGTTCCAAATACACAGATCAAGCTCCCAGATGAGACTGCAGATTTGCCCCTGCTGCCTTTGTTGAAGTTTCACGATAAATTTGAACTGACAGCTCCACTGCAGGGATAAATAATGTAACCGCATTTCGGGACATCATTAAGAGTAATGTTTCATTCTCAGTCCCCTAAAATCCCTTTCACACACATTTAAATAATAAACGATTTTGTGGATTAATCTGAAAGTTCAACCTGAAGTCAAACTTGAGCTTCTTCCACCGCGCTCAGATTAAAACTCGAGACTTGCCGCAGGATGCACGCTCGTCGGGCCCATTTTTCACTCGTTAAGCAGTTACGGCTTCTCCTCTTCCTCCCAGCCGCGAACGTGAGAGATTTAAAAGGATATGTCACCCAAAAATGAAAATTCCGTCATTAATTACTCATCCTCGTGTATTTCGAAACCTGTAAGACTTTCGCTCATCTTCGGAACACAATTTAAGATATTTTTGATGAAATATGAGGGCTCTCTGACCCTCCCATAGACAGCAAGGTAACTACCACGTTCAACATTCCACATTTTCGTCTCTACTGCATCACTTGTGGGCCGGCGCCGGCGCCGCCACACGCTCGCGTCATGATACTGTCGTGAACGCGCGTCCACAAGTGACTCAGTAGAGACGAAACTGTGGAATAAAGTCGTTATTTTTGTTTTCTTTGAGCAAAAAAAGTATTCTCGTAGCTTCGTAACTTTACAGTTGAACCACTGATGTCACACGGACTACTTTGTCGATCATCTTGGTACTTTTCTGGACCTTGAACGTGGTAGTTACCTTGCTGTCTATGGGAGGGTCAGAGAGCCCTCATATTTCATCAAAAATATCTTATATTGTGTTCCGAAGATGAACGAAGGTCTTACGGGTTTCGAAATACACGAGGGTGAGTAATTAATGACAGAATTTTCATTTTTGGGTGAACTAACCCTTTAAGTGCCGTGCAAAATAAAACACATGATGAATTAGAGGACCACTGTCCTTGTGTGACAGATTAAACTGCAGCGAGGAGCACATGTGTGAGACTGTGTCCTCCAGCGTCTGCCGTGTCTCTCCTCCCGCTCTGCTCTGGCACAAAGCTGACAGATCACCTGTCTGCCGGTGAGCTGGAGGGGTCTCTTCCTGACCGACACAAGGTCGTTCAGTCACTCAGAGATTTTGGTCGGGCTGCCTGCCGCATTAGTCAGCACTTTCCCGCCACTCCCCATTCTCCCTGACTAATTTGCGCTTTATAAATGGAACGAGCTCCGAGCACATTGAGACATAAACATGATCATTACTTTGACGTATGAGCAGTCAAACGGACAGACCTACATGCTCTATCCATTGCCAGTGAGTCTGCGGTGTTGTCCTCCAGTGTTGAGGAATAGTGACTCGTGTTTAGTGATTCATTTTACTGAATCAGTTCGTTTGAGCGGTTCATACTAATGAAGCGGTTCAAAAATGAGTCACTAGGTCATTGAGTCCCTGCAAAAGGCATTGAAATGCTTGATTTTCACTACATTTTGACTTATAAATTCGAGTGTTTTTGTAGTGTTACCGTATATGTAAAATCTGTTCAAGTTTAATGCTATCTAAAGATGGCAAAATCAACAGTAGCCCACTGATTCTTTTGATATCTTGTCAAGTATAGGCCTAATATTCTCAAATTAAAATATCTTTTGCATCTTATCAAATAATCTCATAGTGATTATTTATTTAGCATGAAAATGAATGTGAACTCTAAAATGAAAAAATAAGAACTGTACACATCTGAAAATTTAAATGCTGAAAAATGTGTGATATTTATTATGTGTAAAAAATTATTTATGAACTGCATAAATAGGTGTATAATATAAGTTAATATCAGTAATATTTATAAATTATAATGTTATGCATTTTATCAGTTATATGATGATAATATTTATAACTCATAAATATCATATTTTTGATTATAACTTAATATTTATTGTAATATGTGGAAAGTTTATTTACGAACAAAATAAATAAGTTTATATATTAACTGATAATATTTATAACTGCTTGAATACAATGTTAGTAACTTTGGATAAAAGCACCTACCAAGTGCATAAATGTATAGGTCATGATAGATAGATAGATAGATAGACAGATAGATAGACAGATAGATAGATAGATAGATAGATAGATAGATAGTTTTATTCTCAGAGAATGCAAAAATTATCCATTTATTAGAGGTATTGATATCAAAAATCAGTGATATTGCCCCTGATTACACGTTGTGTCAGGAAAAAGATAATAAAAAAGTGGTAACCCTCAGATATGTTAATTAATAAATGCTGCTCTTTCTGAAAAATATATAAATATATATATATATACGTACATTTACACACATATAATGTCATACTTGTTTATTAAAATTACATTGTCGGAGTATTTTTAGCTGTATTTTTATAGCTGCTTGTTTGACTGTAGTTGAACTACTCTAACTTATGAGTGGCTTGTAGCTTTGCAGGCTTCAGTTTTAAAATAACTCCCTCAACAGTGTGTCATGCTTCATAGTAACAAATACTGTTCCATGACCCTGCAGGGTTTTTAGCAGACACAGTCCCACTGCCAGAAGAGTCAACAGGCTTCCACAGGGTAAGGCAACTCCTCTTCCCCTGCTTCCTGTTCGGCTGGCCAATTTCCGCTAACTGTATTTGGGCCTGGATTTTTTCTCTGTTAATATTGGCAGAGCCTCAAACAAATCAAGTATTCTCTCACTATTGGATGTTGGTAAAGCCACTGGGTGAAGTTATTTACAGAGCCATCCACAGCGGCTTCTGTATCAATCCAGACAGGAAGTTTTATCTGCAAAGGGAAGGGAGATGCACTTTTACGCCTCAGAGGGCAGCACGTTTCCACAAAATGTTTTGGGAGTTGGTCGTAAATGTCAGACATTATTATAGAGAGCCACAATTAACTCGGACCAAACTAAAAGATCTGAGCTAATCATGATTCATATGCTGATCATATTCCAGGTTTTGACATTATATTTTAAAGAACAAGGCTGTCACTTGTCCTTTTGGGCCAGTGCTGCATTTCTACTGAAAATCATACATCTTGTACATCAGTGTTTGGTTTTCTGTGATGAATTATACATTGTTGTTGTAAATTCTGCCGATTTGTCACCAAGATAATGTTATCTAGCTGGCTAATACACATGTATGAGTTTTGTAAAAATTACAAAAATTACTTTACAAGAGACTTTAAGCATCTTATTATTAATGTTGAAAACAATTGTGCTGCAAAATATATTTTTTCAGAATTCTGATACATTTTATTTATTTTTTATTTATTTATTTATTTATAATTTTGATAAAGTTTAAAAGAACAGTATTTATTTCAAATAGAAATCTTCTCCAACATGAATTTATTTACTGTCACTTTTGAACATTTTAATGCATCCTTGCTGAATGAAAGTATCGATTTCTTTTAAAAACAAATCGTATTAACCTCAAACAGTTCAACTGTAGTGTAAATATAAAAAATATATAAAATATATAAAAATGCATTGCTAAAAGTAAAATTGATCATTCTTTTGTGAGGTCACTGAAACCTCACAAAAGGTTTGTGAGGACCCACTGGAACAGAATAACATTCTACTATGTTTTGACATTGAAAAAAAGGCAGGTAGCTCTTTTTTTCAAGTATAGGTAACAAGAAAGCTGTTCCTTGTGGTTTATTTGTCACCTGATTGTTGACTTGTTGAAGGTCAATGGTGGGTGTAGTATATCTAGGAATGAATTTACTCCTGTATACCTAAAGAATGTAATTCATCAAAGGTTGAGAAGTTAGTTTTTTATCCAATTCAGTGCATGCTATGGATGCACAGGAATTTAGACAGCCTATGTGTTAGCTTTTTCTTTGCAACACGAATGGAATGAAAAGCATTCCTTGTAGTAAATGAAGAGTCGTATGAATCGTGCATAGAGCACATATTGATTTATTGACGCGGAGGAAAATTGCTGTCATGTACATGCACCCACAGGGGACTAATGGAGGGTGGTTACAGATCTGGCATGCTGGCTGAAAGATGAAGGATGTGATGTCAGGGCTGTATGTGATCCAGGAACTGTGACATTACAAAGGTCACAATCTTGCCCTGCCCTACAGTAAGTAAAATGCCTCCAGGGGGATTGGCCTGGTTAAAATGACAATTGTGGAATTGTGGGAAGATTCCATTTATCCTTTCATCTTCTTCACTTGTTTCTCTCTCCCTCTCTCACATTCTCTGTCTTGGTCAGTATTGCGGTGGCTCTAAATTCCTCAGGGTGAATCATCTTTTACCCCGTGTCTTTCTGAATTTTGTCTTCCCGATATTTCCCTGCTGCTCAGAGCCTTTTTGGTTTTCCATGAAAGAGTCAATGTGCGATGCCTTACTCACTTCCTGAAGAGTCACACAGCATGAAATGACCCAACTCCAGTGATAATTTCCCATGAAGCGCTGCACACACTGAAAAATATTTGGTGGAGAAATAACTTTTACTCAGAAATTGCTAGTCAATTTCACAAATAATTATAAATGGTCAGTAACACATTCAATTAAACATGAAATTCTAGAAAGACTGAAATAGTATTTTCTTGTAAAAAGTACTCCAGAAATGTGTGTTTTATTTTAAAAATTACAGTGCATTCTTACATCTTGATGCACTACTATTATAGTTAACCAAAACTAAAACCACAAAAAAGTGTTTTATTTTTGTTACTTAAATATTAACTGAAATTTAAAAATAAATAAATTATTTAATGTATTATTTCATTTTATTTCATTCATTATTTCAGTTTTACTTTATAATGCCAAAAATAAATTAAATTACAAAACTAAATTAACTCAAATGAAATTTAAAAAATGCAGTTAAAAAATGTAAAAATATTTAGGCATTTTTTTAAAAGCTCAAGTCAAATGGCTTGGTTCCCCCTTTAGGATTTTATGCCTGTGTTATTGTCTGGCAGGCAAAAATCATTCATTTACTTAAAAAAGCAACAGAGCAATTTAATTTATGCTCATAGCAAAAAATATGTGGGCTGTTACCTGCAGAAGTTTAAAAGAAATGTAGTACTAATAATGTGATGCTTACCTAACAAACCTAGTTTGAGCATTCAGGTTATTACTGATAAAATGCTTCAGAAACTTGAACTGCAATGTTTCTTGTTATTGTTACATGCTGTGCAGGACATTTAACAAAGTGCGTCAGAGCACAATGAAGGACTCTATACCGGCACATCTATCTGTGCCAGTTTCTCTATAGTGACACTATCCTTGAGGATGAATTTTACTGGCAAAGTCTTCATTCTCCTCACATTGTGTTGCCCTTCACAGTTTATGTGCTTCTGCTCTTTTTTTCCTCAGCTTTGATCTATCTGAAAGCAATGCACCAAGTTCTTCAAAGCCTGACCAAACTGATACAAATAGTAAGTAAATCCATATAATACTTTGTCCTTTCTCTATAATACATTGCTCAATCTGAAAAGCACTAGATTGTGTCATTCAAATTCAAGTTTCAGTGCCCCTTTTAAGACACTCTATATACTCTACATACTTTTCTGTCTTGTCATTATTAGGAAAAATCACAGTCACATGGTGAGAGTGATGGCCAAAAACACACTGAATCATAAGCGCTGTAGGACAACAGTGGCTCCAACCTGCTCTTTGCGTCAAATGTGATTCAACACATATTACACATTCTAGTCTTTTTTATTTCATAGAGCAGTTGCACAGAACATTCCAGACTTTCCCGAAAGTCCCATTCACTTTTTGGAATGGACAAGGACTATAAACTACAGATGTGAATTGATTGGAGAAAAAAAAAATCACATTATTGTGGCATATGAAAGCATTAAATCAAGTCAATATATATAATTAAATAATTAATCCTTATTACGTATTATGTGTGTGTATATATGTTTGTGTGTGTGTATATATATATACACACACACACACACACACACACACACATACACATACATATATATATATATATATATATAAAAACAGGGGCTTAAGAATGATTAATGAAAAAATTACATTATTTATATTATTATTAATAATGAAATAATCACTAAAATAGCATTGAATTTACAGCCTTACTATAAATACAAAGGACTTCTCAAGAATTTCACCAGAAAACCTCTCTGACAAGTAGATATTTCAGAGAATGTTCTGGAACAAAATGATCTGGCAAATATGAGCGGCACTGCAGTTGATTCCTTCCAAATTCCTTCTCTGTGACTTTTACACAGACTTTTAAAACTAATCTGATCCACTTAAAAGCATTGCCAGCATTGGTCTAAATATCACATTCACTCCCATCATGTTGACAGAGGGTGGAGACTTTAATTTTTAACCACAGCTGAAAGGCCATGTCTTACAGATACTATAATCTCACTATCAGGAGAAAAAAAAACTGCAGGGAGACTGGTATATTTTGAGTTCACTCTGCCAAACAAGTGCTATCTTTGCCTCAAAGATCTCCAGCCCACTCGGATGAGAGTCAGGTATTTGAGTTATGCAGGGCAAGGGGAAAATAACACTCCTGCAGACTTGGTGTAATGAACCAATATGAAAAACGTCAAAGTAAAGCCACAGGTCAGAGGAAAGTGGAGACCATTAAATGGGGGGCTGTGAGACCAGCAGAGGAGGAGGGCACAGTCTAAAAGGTCACAGTCACCCTGTATTGCAGCTCTTGTCAGTCTCTCTTAAAGACCTGTGCGCCACCCACCAGAAGACTCTAATAGGATTCGAGCTAAGAGCACAAAATGACAGAGACGCCTTAAAGCAATACTTTACCCAATAATGAATATTCTATCATAATTTACTCAACCTCGTGTTGTTCCAAACCCGCATACAAGGGGAGATTTTTAATAATTTATTGAGCACTCTTCTCACAGCCAATGTCATAAATGGAGCTTTTAAAGCTTTTGCATCCTTTTTAAAGGGATGCAAAAGCAATAGTTTGCCAAAAATTTAAAATTTAAAGATTTACTTACGAGTTTGTTTCTTCATCTGAACAGATTTGGAAAAATTTACCATTACATCACTTACTAATGGATCCTCTGCAGTAAATGGGTGCCGTCAGAATCAGAGTCCAAACAGCTGATAAAAACATCATAATAATTCACAAGTAATTCATACAGCTCTCACATCAAAATGTTCATATTCATGATTCGTTTGTAAACAGTGCTTGCACTGTGCATATTTCTCTCCTGATTCAGTGATGATGAAACTTTCACTGTATAAAGCAAATTTGCTGTATAGCTAGAGGACTCGCATTTGACCCAGAAGCAACAACGTTTATTACATACACACATGTAATTAACTTTACAAGACGTTAATTGATGGTCTGGCGTCATGTGGATTACTTGTGGATTGTGATGTTTTTATCAGCTGTTTGAACCATCATTCTGATGGCACCCATGCATTCACTGCAGAGGATCCATTGGAGAGCAAGTGATGTTATGTTAAATTTCTCAAAATCTGTTCTGATGAAGAAAACTCATCTACATCTTACATGGCCTGAGGGTGAGTACATTTAGCAAATTGACAAATAGTTATTCTAAATGATTAAACTCGAATGATTTATTCACAAATCAGACACTCCATCTATTATGATCTTGCAAAGAAATGCTCAATATACATAATGTGAAAATCACATAAATATTAGTGTGGTCCTCACACAAATAAGCTATCATATATCTTATTTATGATGCTTTTGTGACAGGATATTCCTAGAAAATCGCCTTTATGGTCGTGGAATTAAAAAAAATATCATACGGATTTGGTAAAACATGGTGAGGGTGAGTACATGATGAAAGAATTTATTTTTGGGTGAACTACTCCTTTAAAGTTTTAAACCAGGGAAGACGGGGAGGGGAGGTTAAAAGGAAAGAGCGAGGTGGAGAGGGAAAAAGGGAGGGGGGAAATCAATAACTAACAGCTCTGCAACACGAATATAATCAGAATGGCAGGGCGATGTATTACTCAGGATTAATATAGGCATTGGTGAGGTCGATTTAATTTACTGGGAAAAGCAAGAAAATAAATAAAACATGGAAAACAAATAGAGTCCTCATTCAAATTCATTAGAGGTTTTTGCGAGATGTCGAAGGAATTTTCCCGTTAAAGTACGAGTAAATGACAAGTTCATGTGCTCATTCTGGACACTAAGTTTGAGTCACAGCCCAAATTGGGTCCATAAGTGCAGTATTTATTTTAACATTCATTTGTTAAAGAATATGGTTATAAAAAAGTGTGTTTTTTCTTTCTTTCACTACATTATGTGAATGGTAAAAGGGTGATTTGTAAGCGTGCAGTGTTACAACCACAAAGGTTAGCTTATGTTTTAATATACAACCTTTAGTTCCTGTACTTACATTTGATTGTTAGTGAGGCGTTCCGAGTGTTGATATCTCTCACTCCTCTTGTCTGTTTGGTTTTGCGGTGACTGTTTCTGCATGTTGCACCACTAGGTGGCAGCAAGCGACTCTCTTTTTAAACGAGTCGATGAATCGTTCAACCGATTCGTTTAAACACACTGGTTAGGCTTGTTCGAGATGAACTACGCTAGCCTGACACCGGCTGGCGAGACGTCAAGCCCATAGACTGTAAAAAAAAAAAAAGATCAAAGGTCAAGCCAGACACTTTCAGCTCCTGGTAGTGAGGCTTGCGTTTGCATACTCTATCTCAGATTAAAGGCAGAGTAAGGGATTTCTGGTAGCCAATGTTGATATTTGAAATCACCAAAACAAACACGCCCCTACCCCAAACGTGTCTTGCCCCTATTTTGATAGCTCCGCCCCACATATACGTACACAACCCAGGCAACGATTAGTTCTGTGAAACAAAGCAAAACCAATGTTACACCGTGTCTACGGACGTAAGCGGCGCGGCTCAACAAATCCCGACAGAAAACTGCTGCCGGGTTCTATTTATGACGTGCTGACACAAATTTCAAATGGTTTTCAACAGTCGTTTGATCGCGTCCAGTGTAGGCAGACTTTAGCTGTTGTAGACACACGTTGTTACTCACCTATTGAGAAGAAACAAAGCAACCTCGGCGTCCGATCGCAGGCCTCCGCTCCTTGAGTTCTCTCCAGCGCTGGAAAGCTGATCCGATATTTACACGGGTCCTACTTCTTGCCTTATCGTTCCGCAGACGTTTTCCTCTTTTGTTTTTTATCCGCCATCTCTATCTCTCTGTCGCCCGGCTCGGCTAATGTCCGTCCCATGCACTGAAAGCTCTCTCCTCCACATCACGAGACGAGTAGACACGCCCCTTATTGCTGATTGGCTACAAGTTTGTTTTACGATTCGGCCCGAATCAGTTTTCTAAAGTGCTTTTGAAAAATCAC